CAAGGAGGCTAGAAAGGAGGCTAGAAAAGAGGTCTTGTTTGTCATTTTCTTCTAACATGCGATGTAGAAACTTCAACTTTCGAGCTTCCATGTCTTCTAATCCCGAACTTTTGTAGTGAAATGGACCTATTGAGACAATCCTAGGTCTGTAAGCTCTCTCATCTTCTTCTCGCATATGTTGCGGGACTCCGCATATACCGCACTGAAGGATTGACGCAGAGGGAATACTTGTATTACTGTTTAGTTGTGGTGACTCTGAACGAATTTGGCTATCGATATTTAGCTCTGGTGACTCAAAATGAATAGTAGAATCGAGGTTTAGCTCTGATGATTCAGAATGAATTCCATGATTGACACTTGGCTCTAGAGAGTTAGAATGAATGCAGGTATCAATGTTTAGCTCTGATGACTCAAAGCGAATCCAGGTATTGATGTTTAACTCCGATGACTCGGAACGAACCTCAGTATCATTAGTGTCTAGTTCTGATGTCTCGAAATCCCGGTTTTCTTCACTTGACAAGTAGGATTCCAATTCGATAGTCCAACCCGAATTTTCACCCATATTGAGAGCGCTAGCTAGCCACAGAACAAGAAAATATAACTCAGTCAATGCATTTGCAGTCTAGAAATATCTAGACAAGGCGAGGAGCAAAGGGCTGTTGATAGTCTTCAAAAACACGTTGTCTCCGAAATTTTGTTGAGGCAACATGGAAAATTCTTCATACCATTCTGGGAAGATTTCGAAATTGACTAAACGCATATAAATTGGATTTATTTATTCATTTCAAGTGGTAAAGAAGTGGGAACTCTGATAGATTCAGATCAAACTTTTAAACTATATTAGGCTGGAGAGGAAACCGACAGGGAGGAAACATAGTTTTAATGTGCAGTAATAGTGTGTCAGAACGAGCCTTTTATTAGTGAAAGAACCCAGTCTTTGCATTGCAGCTTAATTTCTTAGAAGAAGCAGTGGAAGTTGTTTGTCCCCTGGGAATATAGGCCGCCGACCAGCTGGAAACAATGCATCTGCAGGTTCTCCTTTCATACTTCAGAAATTTTATTTGACACTGTTAGCTGCTTTCTTCCTTCATGTATCTTCCCTCTAGTACCGGATCTCATTTGTTGAAGTTGTTTTTCACATGTCTATGTCTGGGAGGAGAGAAAGAGAAAAAAAAAAAAAAAGAAGTTGAAGGGAATAGAAAGAAGAAGGAAATGCGTGAATTTGTCTCTCTTTATCCCCTTAAAATCGAATCTTTTCTTTTCACCAATCCAGGGAAACACCCATTCAACTATGTCATTGTGTTTATCTTCATCAACTTTATTTCCTTCGACTTTCCTTTCCTCTTTCTCACCCTTTCCCAGTTTTCCTTCTTCTAAATTTTCTTTCCTTCCTACCTGATGATGTGTGGTCCACCAGGCTGCTTGTGTACTGCCTTCCTATCCAAAGTTTGAGCTGAATTATTTTGACTTTAGTTGACCAATAACAAAAATGATTTGGACTGTTTATAGGAAAATAGTTTAGGAACTGGCCAATTGGAATTTAGAGTAAACATGGAAAATTTGCTTTCTGATATCCAAATTAACGTGGAAACTTCGAAATCCTTACCCAAATTGGCTTATCACTTGGTTCCTAACTATCTTTGTTTCTTTATCATTATATAAAGTGCATTTCCCCCATAATTGTTGATAAATGCATGAAAATACTTTCATATGAGTTTAAAATATGAGATTTTTTTATTTTTATAAAAGAAAATACAATATTTTTAACTGTTTTTATTTATATTTTGCGAGCGAAAACAATTTTTTTATATAAAAAAATTACAACATGAAAATAAAGAAAGAATTATAAATAATTAAATATCGAGAAACTTAAATATGCTGAATATAATTTAATGATAATTATATAAATTAATTGAATTTAATTTTAAATTTGTATTTTACAAAAACAACCTTGAATTTGTAACAATGTCTTTGTAATAAAGATGAAATCTCACTGTATGCTTGTCGAGGTTTAATTCAAGATTGAAAAGAAAGTAGTCTACCTTCACATCCAAAATATTTTTATTAAAATAATAGAATATTATTATTTTAAATTAAATAAAAACCTAAAATAACTAATAATTGCTATAAATGATAATTTAATTAATTTTAGAAAATTATCTGTAAAAACACTTATTAACAAAGTTCTTAATAAAATAAAATGGACTAAACTACACTTTGAGTTTGGGCTTAAAAATCTTGATTCAAGATGCTAAGGACAAAGGGTGGCTTCTTAATGGATACCCATGGAGCTTTACCCAGGCACAAAGTTTGGAAGAATTGAATATTATACCAGATATATACATTGTATGAGATGTATATATGTATCTTATGTACTTATGTTGGTTCTCCTTTACTACTCAAAAGTCGTTTGAAATTTACTGATCATACCAATGAATGGAAAGTTTCTTAAGATGTACAAATTTTCCAATGGAGATTTAAGTCTTCAAACTGTTTTTTCCTTTATCAATGTTCCAAGTTGGTAGAAACTAGAAAGTCTATACCATACGATTTAGAATGGACGGATTTTTTTGCAAGTGATCTCATGGCATTCTATATAGACTCTTATCTCCTATCCTTTCCTACTGGAGGGTGAGTTTCCTCTTCCTAATATGACATATTTTCTCGTGCATGATCAAGGACAATAATAAATTGGCTAAGCTAGAGATTTCATCTAAAAAAATTTAGTGGAATAATCTTTGTTCAAGTATTATCATTTCATGATTTCAGAATTATATGACATATCCATATGTTTACGAGCTGTACAAGAGGGTGGATGAACCATCTGGGGAGGAAAAATATCTTTCATTATCAACATTTAAAGAAAGGTCTTCCATTGATGAAATTAATGATGCTTCCCTTGGAAAACCAAGGTAATTAAGTTGCATTCATTCATCATCTATTATTTTAGAAACAGCTCCATTTTCATCTTTGTTTTCCACTATTCCTAATGTGATAATTTCATTTGGATTTCTCTTTGCAGAAATAAAGACAAGATAAGATAGCCTATGGAATTTGGTAAGATGAACATCCTTGTTCTTATTATTAACTTTTAATACTGTCTCTTGATCTTGACCAATCTAAACGTTACTGCTGCAGGGGCTTTCTGAGTGGTGTATTTTGAGTACAGTTGAAGTTGTGTAACCACAAACCTGAGCGCACATCACAAGCAAGTTTGTATATTGTTAAGTATTCTAGCAAAGAAAGAAAGGATGTAATACTACTAATTAACATTCTTCACTGCTATTGCTCTATTGGCATTGACAAATAATATGAAAAAACGGATATAATTAGGGAAGGACAGCAAGTGGGAGGTGAGATTCTGGAATTCACATGGAATTAACTTGTGTCGTTGCTCATTACTTAGGCCATCTATTTTGAAATACTAAAAATTAGCAGAATCAAAGGGAAATTAACTACACCCAATTTGGCATATACTTTTATAGAAATCTTACTCATAAAAAAAGGAACAGTTGCAGATCAAACAGAAGACTTGAAGCTACAAATAAAGGATGGGTGAAGTTCAAACAATAATGAGTTTGTGTCAAAGATGACAGCCACGATCCAAGCTGGGGCAATTGTGGTTTAGAAAAATTTGTCAAAAGTTGCCACAAACATCCCAAGAATGTTAAGCTGGCAACATGTTTGGAATGTCAATTCTGGAATACACTATATCAGTCCTCTTTCTAAAATTATTCTCTTAATTTTCACACTAATATGTTATTTATCTATTTATTTAAAGTGTTGAATTTTGCTCTCAATTTCTGCAATCCTGAATTCAGTTTGAATTCCATTTTACTAAATAAATGAAAAGAAAAAATTATGCCACGTAAGTGCAGCCATAGCCATGCACGCATCCTTCAAGACCATTGTTGTCTCCATTTAAAACTTGTTTGACCCTTACCATCTATGCTTACATAAAATCTTTTATCAGAACCTTGGTAGTCGAAAGACTAAAACACTAGGCTATAAGTCGTCTCCAACACTACCCATTTTCCACCCTTTCCTTTTCAGCGATAACTTTAAAAAAGAAAAACACAATCACATTTATTTGTGTCATAATGACTTAAAAAGAATTATTTAAAATTTCAAATCTATTAAATGATTTGAAAGAAAAATTCAAATGGGTAATTAAGACGATTGCACATTTTTGGCTGAAAAATCAGACACGTGTAGCAAATTACAATCACATTTACTTGAGTGCCTAAAAATTGGCTTTAGGCATCAATGGTGGAACAAAAACTTTAACGGGTTGATTTGACCACTTCCATAAAATAAATACTCTTCAAGGAGATATTAAAAGGTCAAAACCCCATTTCCATGGAAGTTGGATTAACTTTCTTTCTTTTCTGAAAATTTGTTCTGCCGGTTGAAATCTAAGATTGACAATCACTTTTAAATGACTCCTTTATATAATTATTTTAAAAAATAATATTACTAAATATTTTATATTAATTCAAGATATTAAAGAAATAAACTTTTTTTTATAAAGTAGATTAAAAAAATACCTTTGAAACACTTGTTGATAAAATTCTTTAGATTTTAACAAATGAATACTTTTCAAACTTCATGCTGTCAACATCTAAAACTAATCTTCCTCACGATATTGATAGCTCCTGGTATCTTGTCCTTTGTAATCTGCACAGTGTGAAATATTCTATTGCAAAATATGAGAGAAACTTTTTCATTGTTGAATATATGGGTATGTAAGGAAACCCAGACCTACTACAGTACACATAAGCATTCTGATTAGAGTTTGAACTACATAAATTATTATATTGTTACTCAACCTCTTAATTATTTTTCATGGTCAGAATCCAATTTTCTCATACATAGAAGTAAATTACAATTTTTGCTCCACTTGGCTTTATATATATATATATATTCTTTTGGATTTCATCTGTTTCATAATTTTTACATTTTTTTAGTATTTATTTAATAAAAAATTGACTGTTCAACAAAAGATGAGATTACATTTTATGAATAAAACTACTTATAAAATTTATAAGTATAATTCTATTTAAACCAGATAACATGTGAATACATCATCCTTAAAGAAGAAAAATTATGTCTAATTTGGATGTTGATGCATACGGTAACTCTGATATGATCTAAAACCAACTGATTTTTTTTACATGAATAACAATATAAGCTCACACTTTGAGCAGATTTTTATATATAGATGTCCATATTATCAAACTTTTTAGCTTATTTTGCCAACCATTTTGGCCTATCAACTTTATTCTTCGTATCTAATTAATATCCTTATTTGGTGGATCCTGTCCTTTGCCAATTTCCAAAGTACTTAAGAGAAACCCAGAGAATTTTTCTTCTTCAAGTTTGACAACTCTCCTTTATTTTATCAATTGAAAAAAACCATGAAACAAAAGTAAATATACAGTAACCGTACAAGAAAGAGATTTTTATTCTCTTTTTTCTTCTCCTTTGTTTCATTTCTCAGACAAATAGGAGGGAAAGCGTCTTCATTCAATCGAACAAGCTCATTTCATCTCTGTCAGAAAGTGGAGAAAGGTATAATGAGATAACCCAGAAGTGTAATTGTCATGAATTTTCACTTGGAATCACAAGAATGAGTAATTACTAGAAACAGATGAGTTTTCATTCAAATATATATTTATGTTTGTTAGATTTTCTATTCAGAAAATTGATCTTATCTTCTAACCTTTGTTTTTTGGACAATCTTATCTACATGCATGAATTTTTTTTCCTAGAAATAGAATGTTTGCATGGTACAAGTCTTGCCTTAATTGATGAAAATGCAGTGGAAAGTGTTGCATTATTTTTTTTCTTTCTCTTATATCCAATTTTGGTCGTAGAAAGTTTTTTATTTTGCGTTCTTTGCAATAACAAAACCAGAAAGTCTCAAAAGACGAAGATTATAAAATGACAATAGTATCCTAGTAAATAATAGTCAAACATGTACATTAAGTGAAGGTATTTGAGATAAACACTTTTTGAAAATTATTATTTTCCACCTTCTGAAGGTCAAGTGGGGAGGTTGTTTCTCTTCAGTCAACCGTAGTGAATTGGCTTTAAAATCTTCAACAAGGAGCAAGACAAAAAAACCAGTCCTGAAGGCTGAAGAGCTATCCCCTTTTATTTCATCTGATTTTTGGTGTTTCTGAGTGGAAGAAAGGAGAAGCTTTCAACCATGGCTGGAGGGCCTTTAGCTCCAACTGGGGTGGCCAAGGAGAGGGCAGAGCTTTACCAAGGGAGGGTCACCTTTTATGTGATTATTACTTGCATTGTTGCAGCTGTTGGAGGATCAATTTTCGGATATGACATTGGAATTTCAGGTACTCTATCAGCCAATATTTTTATAGATAGATGTATTTAGATTGTTGTTCTGGCGAGGAACCAATAGTCCACAAAGAACATTCCGAGAAGCAAATATAGAAATCATTAGGGACTGGAAATCTGGTGTTGATGGTAATCTAAAGAAGTGAAAAGTTATCTATCATATTTAAATTCAAGAGTTGATTCTTCGACAGGGAGGGAAAAAAATTGTTGTGTTTCACTCTGTTTGGTTTCCAGGCAGAGGAAATGAAAACCAAATTTGGAGCTCAATAACGTATTCAGTTTATTTACAGTTCTATTGAAGTAATGATGCGATCAGGAATTAAACAACAGTTAGAGCACTAAACATAAAAGTGAATAAGATGCATGAAAATAGACCAGACAAACTAATCAGAAAGTGGGTGTACACAGTTTGTGCATATTTACTCGTATAAGAATTTTCACAGCCAGAAAAGTTCCTCAACAACCCACAAAACCTTTTGTCACTGAATATTCTTTTCAACTTCATGACAATGATTCGCAGGAGGAGTGACATCTATGGATGGATTTCTCCGAGAGTTTTTCCATTCGGTGTACATAAACAAGAAGCACGCCCATGAAAACAACTACTGCAAGTATGACAACCAAGGGCTCGCAGCATTCACCTCTTCTCTATACTTTGCTGGTCTAGTTGCATCCTTGGTGGCATCTCCTATAACTAGGGTGTACGGCCGTCGTGCAAGTATAATTTGTGGAGGACTCAGCTTTCTTGTTGGAGCAACTCTCAATGCCGCAGCTGTCAATATGGCAATGCTCCTGTTGGGTCGAATCATGCTTGGTGTTGGGATAGGATTCGGAAACCAGGTAATAACCTACTTCACTGGAATTTCTCCTTGTTTATCTTCCTATAATGAACTTATTTAGGATTTTGGAAATGACCAAAATTTTTCTTCTCTATTTTTTTAAGCATACGATTTCTCTGCTTGTAAGAACAGGAGCATCCCTTGCTTCTGTTCGCAGGCGATGATCAGCGCCTAGTATAAGTTACTTGATCTATGAGAGATTTAATCATCTAATAGTTCAGTAGATATTTCTGAGATTCTGAGCCACGCTTTTTCATGTTTATGAAGGCTGTTCCGCTGTATCTGTCAGAAATGGCACCAACTCATCTTCGAGGAGCCCTGAACATGATGTTTCAGTTAGCAACTACCCTTGGAATCTTTACGGCAAACATGGTCAATTATGGAACTCATAAGCTTGAACCATGGGGATGGAGGCTCTCTCTGGGCCTAGCAGCAATACCAGCCACTTTAATGACGTTAGGAGGATTCCTTCTTCCTGAGACACCTAATAGCTTAATTGAAAGGGGATCAAAAGAGACAGGAAGAAAAGTCCTGGTGAGGATTAGAGGAACAGATCAGGTTGATGCAGAGTTTCAAGACATGGTAGATGCTAGTGAGTTGGCAAATGCAATCAAGTATCCCTTCAGAAACATCCTTGAAAAAAGGAACAGGCCACAATTGGTCATGGCAATCTGCATGCCAACATTTCAGATTCTAACAGGCATAAACTCCATCCTCTTTTATGCTCCAGTGTTGTTCCAAAGCATGGGATTTGAAGGAAATGCTTCACTCTACTCTTCAGCTCTCACAGGAGCAGTTCTGGCTGGATCTACATTCATTTCCATTGCAACAGTCGATAGATTGGGTCGTAGAGTTTTACTCATCAGTGGTGGAATACAAATGATTATATGTCAGGTACTCTTTAACATTCTGTCTTTGAACAAAAGCTATAACAGTAACTCAAGCAATACAAATGGGCAACTGACCATTCTGTCATCTGCCTCTGAAACAGGTCATAGTTGCCACAATCTTGGGGCTGAAGTTTGGGGACAATCAAGAACTATCAAAAGGCTACTCAATATTGGTAGTGACAGTGATATGTCTCTTTGTTCTGGCATTTGGATGGTCATGGGGTCCACTAGGCTGGACTGTGCCAAGTGAGATATTCCCACTGGAAACCAGGTCAGCGGGTCAAAGCATTACAGTCGCCGTAAATCTTCTATTCACTTTCGTCATAGCTCAGTGTTTCCTTGCCATGCTTTGTCATTTGAAGTTTGGGATCTTCCTATTCTTCGCAGCATGGATCACTGTCATGACCATCTTCGTTTATGCTTTCTTGCCTGAAACCAAGGGAGTTCCTATTGAAGAAATGATATTTCTGTGGAGAAAACATTGGTTCTGGAAGAAGATTGTCCCTGAATATCCCGAAGTTGATACAAATGAGACCATTTAGAAAAACAAAGAATTTCCTACGAGTACTTGTTTACAATGTTTGTGTTGTAATTGCAATAGTCATCAAGGTAATACAGGCAAGAGGAGTTGATTCCTCCGCCATGAGAATGACTAAAGCCACTTCGTTAAAAAACCACTTTCTCAAAGATTCATAAATAATATAAAAGATAAAAACAAATTGACAGACTACAAGAAAAAAGGTTATAATTTTTTGAAAAGATCATAAAGTACTCCCGAAACCGGATATCAATGAATAGATTCATGTCATGAATCCTTGTGTTATTAATAAGGAAAAAACCTTAAATTTTAAGATCTCAAAGTGCAATATATTCAATTTGATTGACTTCTATTGTCATTTTTATTAATCATTAAATTTGATGTAAAATAATATATATACATAAGTATATGTATGCTTACGGGGAGTATTCAATAATTTTTACTAGTCCATATAATCTCATAACAAAATTTGCTTAGAACTCCAACTACGTATAAAATGCTACTAAAACACTAGTTACCAGTATGGATATCTTACACATGAATATCTTAAAAGGTTCAATGAGTAAAATTGACACCTTTTTTGGAAAGAAAAATAAATAATAAAAAAACAAATAAATAAATTAGACTAATTTACCCCTTGTTCTGTGCCAATCATTGAACAAATGTCCTGGTAAAATTTAAGGGGGAAAAATGAAATGTAAGCAATATGAATAATGAAATGTTGCATTAAACGTGTTCTATAATGCAAAATAAAAATAGGGATAAGAGAGTGATTGATTACAAAATTTTGCTGCGTTGTTGTTCGCGAAGGACAAGCCTACCCAACATTTCTGCACCAAGTCTCCTCCTTGTACTACATCACTTGATACTATCACATCCTTAAAACTTGAGAAGGTGTATCTTCAGATAGAATTGAGCATATTTCAACCGAATTATTTCTGTCCCAAAATCAAGTTCTACAAGAAAAGCTCCAAACTACCAGAAGATTTTCAGTCACAAGTAAACCAAGCTGGTAGTTCGCCACCCATTAAGGTACCTCATATCAAGGAAGATGAGAATATTATCGTTGACACCCTAGTAGCAGAGATTCTTTTGTTTCTTGTTAGTTTAACATCCACCCTCCTAAGGTTTCTGGAGAAGAATTGTAGCTGGGTGGACAAAAGGGCTGACCACATGATTTATGGCAAGACACAGCAATGACCCTGTCTACATGTTATCACCACTCATCAAGAGATTTGAAAAGAATCAATAATGAACGGTAAAGTCATGATACACCTGAAAGCATGTGTTTTTCATTAAATAAATCATGCTAATGCTGTAAAGTTTCAAATGTGATGAAGAAATAAATGGACAATTGCAACTTGGAGAGGTATCACTAGGCTGCGATAGGAAAAACAATCATTGCAAAGGATTCAAAACTGTCAATCACAATTAAAATTTGTAAACGAACAAATCTAATAGGAGCTGCTTCCATGACAATGAACCTAAACTAAAATTAATTCAAGTTTGTCTTTCTTTGCACTCAAAAGGAAATACATACTCATATTATTTAGTTGAGACAATGACAATTCATTCTCGAAAGTAGTGACATGATAAGGAAAATAATTTCACAAATAATTCAAAAAATGTTAAAGAATAAAACAAAGAGTCCATAACTAAGAGGGCAGAAATAGGGAAAGCAGTTTCCCAAAAAATTGAGGATTTGAAGAAAGCAATGGCACTTTGAAGTTAAAAGTTACACCAGTATCTCCAAATCACATTGAATGAAAGAAAGATCCACCAGGGCAATATTGGATAAAGAATAGCCGTTATAACAGAAAACCATTAGCACACAAAAGAAAATCAGGACATGAACAACATACCTACCGATCCCACAACCATCACAATGATACAGTCTCTTCGATGCCTACATAGTAGAAACAACATTAATCTGCCAATATATGTATTATGTTAACTCATTGTGCAAAAACATAAGCTAAGATAACAATGTAAACGTCACAAAACCATAAAAGGTGGATCTCTCTCTCATTCATATAAATAAAATAGTATGCAGGCCTGGCAGAAATAATTCCCCATACATATGCCACAGTTAATGCAGACTACTTGGCCTGTTCAAAATGAAATCAAAAGTAAACATGCTTAAGAGAACTCCAACTACATACAATACACTTCTGATGCAGTAGATTGTGCTAATTAAGTTTTCCAGGTCATCAACAATACCATCATTCCTCTTACACATGTATACCTTAAAGGTTCAACGAGTAATATTGACACCTTTACTCTCAAACGAAAAATGCTTAATGAAAACCCATAAAATTATTTAGAGTTAACCCTTTTTCTGTGTCACATAGCAAACAAATGACTTAGTAAAATTTACAAAAAAGAAACGAAATATCAGAAATATGGAGCATTTCTTCTGGCCAAAATTAATATTTGTAACGAACAAATCTAATAGGAGTTGCTTCCATGAAAATGAATCTAAACTAAACTTATATCAAGTTTTTCGATCTTTGTACTAAAAAAGAGATACATACACATATTATATACGATAAATGGTTAGTCGGCAGGGCTCCCAACGCTCATAAAAATACACAAGAGGATAGAATATGTAAAAGAGAAGAGGATATAGAGATTTCAAACCATTTTATGTAAACTTTTGAAAACGGTTATGTTCTCTTCCTTAACAAACTTTTGCTTCTCTTTCTCTCAATTCTCTCAGAAACCCAACAGAAACTAAATCGCCTAAGAAATAAAATCAATGAATCACTACTTTCAACAATACACATTATCTAAACAAATAATTCAACAATAATTAAAAAAATAATATTACTAACTTAAATAAATTTCATAACATAACTAACATAACAAACTTTCAATCCCGGAGCGATCTGAAGAACAATAGCGAAGCAGCGATGAGAACTTTGGATGCCAACTTTTCAAAACAGAGCCCTTTCCTCTCTTTTCTTTTTCTTTTTTTTTTTAACAGAAACATAGTAGCGATCAAAGCACAGCCTTAACTACCTTTAGCTGTATTGGTGTTTGCGACAGTGATAGCAGTCACTCAGTAGTTCGAGTATTTACAAGTCAAATGACGTATTTACCCTCCTATTCAAAATTCAGGTTCCATTTTCATAGAGTAAATATCCTCTGCAACCGCAAGTGTTTTGCACCCTCGTTTTTTAGAGTTGGATTAAACAAAAATTTGATCGGAACAAACGAAGAGTAAAGAGTTAAATTGCATACTCTGAATTTTGAGCGTAGGATGATAAGTTTGAATACTGTGGCTGAAGTAGGACGATCCAACGGCTTTAAATTGAAGATACATGTATAGTCAATCCAACAACCGTAACTTGTGACACGTGACTTAAATTTTGGACTAAAAATGCGCGTTATTGACGTGCAGAGAATATTATGTTAGAATTTTATTTATTTTTTAGATACAAACACAACATTTTGTTAAAATATCACGTTCTGTTAAAACAGGGTTAGCAAGTATATTCTTCATTCTCATTTAGTTGCCACAAACTTCTAATCAACTCCAATGATAACCTGGCCATTCAATGCTTCAATTGTTTTAGTGTTATAGGTCGAGATTTAAACTCTGAATTCGCATGATTTTGAGATCTGGATATTCACTCATTTGATATCTCAGATCAATCTACTTATCACGGTTCACACTCTTATGAGGTGTTATCCGTTCTGATCCTCTGATCTCACAGTTTTATCCTACAAAAGATGTCTCATAAAGGAGAGGTGGTGTGAATCTTTTTATACTAAGTGACCCTCTATTATGTTCGATGTGAGATTTAAGACTCTTCTTTAGGTCCGTCTATTATGTTCAATGTAAGATTCAAGATTTTTCCTTCCTATTATGTTCGATGTGAGATTCAAGATTTTTCTTTCCTATTATGTTCTATGTGAGATTTAGGACTCTTTTTTAGGTCTGTCTATTATGTTCGATGTGAGATTCATGATTTTTCTTTCTTATTATGTTCTATGTGAGATTTAGGACTCTTCTTTAGGTCCGTCTATTATGTTCGATGTGAGATTCGAGATTTTTTCTTTTATACCTTAGTGACCCTCCTATTATATTCGATGTGGGATTCAAGAATTTTCTTTAGGTCCGTGACATTCTCTTCCACCTAATCTCGTAACGCCCTCATCACGGAGGCTGGTCACCTTGTCTATCTTCCTTGAGACACTTGACGTGGATCGAACGGTTTAGGGCTGACTTTGATACCACTTGTCACGGGTCGAAACTTAAGTTTCAAACCCACGCGACTCCAGGACCCGGGTATCCCACTCATTCGATGTCCCAAATCAAACTACCTGTCACGGTTCACTCTCTTGTGAGGTATTGTCTACTCTGACCCCTTGATCTCATCGTTTTGTCCTACAAAAGACGTCTCACAAGGAAGAGGTGGTGTGAACCCTTTTATACCCTAATGACCATCCTATTATATTCGATGTGAGATTCAAGACTCTTCTTCAGGTCCGTGACACCAGTACATTGCTGTGCAAAAAAGCTATAATCAAGAACAGAGAACACAGAAGAACTGATGTTTTTGCATGTAGGGTAAGACATGCCCCTCGAGATCTAGAAGAATTGTTCTTTAATCTTTTCAATCTATAATAGTTTTGACTACAAAATATTGTTAAAAATTGATATATAGATTCTATGATAGTTGGGCATTGAAAAAATTATAATTGTTTGTGTTTATTAAATATTATCCTAAAAGTTTTTTAAAGTTTTAACTAATATGAAAATAAATATGATTAAGATTGTGTTCATTGTAACATTAATATTGGAGTTTAATTCAACTAATTCCCATTCTAAAAACTTTTGGAATCTTAAAGGTCATTTAGAAGGAGAAATGTCATCAATTGTAAAGACTGAGAACTTTGATATGGATGAGGAACATGTTTTTGTTGTGAAAGAGGGTGTTATTCAGTCTTTATTGCATTTGGTCGTGTACTTTTGGATTTTCTTCTAGAACTTCAACTATTATTTTTGTCATGAAAATCTGATGAAGTTTTAACTCATCTGAATCATCAGTATCAACTGTATCATCTGATTCATCTGATTTTTCCAAAGAGAAATATATTTTCTTTTGCTATGATCAAACTCAATTGTCACAGTGCCATCCTGGTTTGTCTTGTAAGTTAGATTAAAGTATTGAATTGGTTCATCTTTCTTTTA